AAGCTGTTAATTTGCCAGCAGCAGAGATGGAGGGAAAATCATAGAATCATAGAATCAGAGAATCTTAGAATCACAGAATCTTAGAATCATAGAATCACTTGTGTTGGACCTCAAAGATCATCCATTTCCAACCCCCTGCCACAGGCAGAGTTGCCAACAGCCAGACCAAGCACAAGATCAGGCTGCCCAGGGCCCCATTCAGCCTGCTCTTGAATGACTTTAGAGACAAAGCACCTACAGCTTCTCTGAGCAGCCTGTCAGAAAAAGAGATAATTCATACAGTAATGGGTCCAGTAAATGGAAGCCCCATATTTCTGTCCTCCAGCCTTGTAAAAAGTAGAGGTGGAAATCTACTACTGTAAATTTTGAATACTACAATACTACAGACCGTGACGTTTGAATACTATTGATCACAGAGAGCAGCTGCCAGAATCACGTTAGTGCATATTTCTACCCAGCTACTTCTCTTGACCTAAAATAACTCCTGTGCTTAGGCTGCACCTCTCTAAGCCATAGCTGAGCCATGGCTGTTCCTTATGGGAAAGAGACAACCCCCAGCTCCATTCTCCCTGCACAGGACGATGTCTGACAGATGTATGCCCCAGGCTGGGGGATGTGGAATTGGCTGAGAATGCTCTGGTGCTCACAGCATAGGGCCTGAGGAACTTTGGGGCTCTGAAGGCTGAGGGTGCATGACATGAGACACTCAGGACATGGACACTGAGAATACGGGACACTCAGAATATGGAACGCTTGGGACGTGGAACACTGAGCATATGGGATGCTTAGGACATGAGGCACTCAGGATGTGGGATGCTCAAGATGATTCTCCAGCCATGGGGTCGTGGCAGCGGTTGAGAGCTCTGTGCTCCTTTGCTGGCCCCAGTGACCACCATGAATCAAAGCAGCTGCCTGCACTAACAGCAAGCTAAGGGCTCTGCTCTGCTTCCTGCCCCTCTAATCTGCGCATCACCCAGGCAAGGCAGTGGGGGTTCCCGTGCTGGGCGCTCACCCCCAGCTGTGCTGCCCAGCACCAACATCCTTTCCTGACACACATTGGTTTCCTGCATAACACTCTCACACTACTTCCTACCCCCAGTTAATGTCTGTGGTACAGTTTGCTTCACAGAGCAAATGGAAGGAAAAAATGTAAAGAAAAAGAAAGAGAGCAGGGTTTTCTATAAGGCCAGGCTGGCAGATGCGTGCTGGTGGTTCCAGCATTGCAGCCCACATGCTGTGGTGAGAGGCACTGCACAGCAGGCAGAGGGCAAACAAAGCAGCAGAGCATGCAGCAGTGTGCTGGGCAAGGCAAGGGCAGGGGGTTCTGCTCCCTGATGATATCCCTGGTACTGTTATATGGTTTCCTCATTTGGGGTGAAGCAGTGCCATGTCCCCAGCTGCAGTCATCCATGCTGTGACCCCAAAGCAACACCTCCCCCTGAATGCAGACAGCCAGTGCTGGGGCCAGGTGAGCAGCAGGTACTCTGCTCCTTGTGGGCTGGGCAGCATTTTGGGGTGCAGTGTGCATGGGATATCACTGCTGCAAAGGTGCTCCCAGCTGTGCATTGCAGGGCCACAATCCAAAACCCCCTTCTGCCTCTCCAGCAAAGTAGGAAAAGCTCTCAAAGGCTGCTGGCCTGCTTTAGAAAGCGGATTAGGGCCAGTGAATAGGAATTCTCTCTCTAATGAAGTGCTATTACCAACAGGCTAATTGAGTAATGACATAATGCAGGCCCTTGGAGCTCTTTATAGTGGCCGTGACTCTGTGCCGCTGTGCACTGCCACTTCCTTGCCATGGCCCGTGGTGTCTCCTGCTCACTGAGACTCATGTGCAACACTGCAGCTTCATGGGGGCAACAGACAATGTGTCGCCAGCATAACCCTGCGTGGAAAATGTGGAGGTGGAGGGAAACCCATAGTAATTAGCTCGGGAGACGCCAATCTCTTCACATGTGAAACATGAGACTTCTTATGAAGGAAAGTCAAACAGGCCTCATAGTGCTTTCAGTAAGCCCAGTAAAACAGAGGTGATCCATAAATATGTATGCTGTGATGGGTTTAAAATACTTTCTGATGATTTTCTAGGCAGATCTCCAGTGTGTTACAGCACAGCATCGCTATTGTGGAACTGCAGTCTCGGGCCAGTAAAGCGCGCACTGATCCCTGCGGGAAGGAGGAGAGCTCTGTGTTTGTGCTTTTCCCCTCGTGCTGAGCTGGGAATCCTCAGATGAAGAAACTGCAGAGAACCCAATGGGTTTGCTTCCCATTCAGGGCTCTCCTGCCCTCTTTGCATTCACCACACTCCTTGTTTCTCTGGGAAGACTTGCGCCTTTCCAGCCCCATGCTACTGGTTTATCATCTGATTAAAGATTAATTTGATATAATTGCTCATGTCAATAGCCCAGAGCCAGAAAAACAACAGTTACACCTGCAGCTTGCTTGTGAATGCCCTCATCGTTGTGAACAATTAATGGACAGAGGCTGTTATGCCTTTACATGCAGACATGAGAAGCTGTGATCCCCCAGTCCTGCACCTGTTGTCCTTCTGTGCGCATGGAGCAAGAGCAAAGACCACCCATCCCTGGAATCACCAGCCACCTGAGGTACCTGCTGACTGCCCCTCAACTGTCCTGGCTTCTGCACAGCTCCTGCTATTCGTTCCTCAAATCCACACCAGCCACACAGCCATGACTCCACTATTAGCCTTTCCCGGAGTCCTGCCCTACTTCTGGTCACTCTCTGGCCCCTCCCACGGTGCCTTTCCTAAAACCCCTAAGTCAGCACTAGGTCAGAGAGAGGGGAAAACTGGAGAAGCACACACACTTTGTGGTTTCCCTTGAACCTTTGAATGGACTCCACCAGCCACAGTGTTGTACGTGCTTGTTCAGAGGTCGCCCATGGAAATGAAAAGAAGGAGTTTAGACGTGCAATGGTGGCAGCATGTTGTCCTGCTGGGTGTGTGGAGCCAGCATGGCTGAGCCCTGTGCTCTAATAAAGGAGTGACTGCCTGAATCCTGGCTCTGGAAGCATGGACACCATAATGGATTGCAGATGGTCGCACAACATGGCCACCAAATGCTGCGTGGAGCCAGCTCTACCTGCATGGGATGCAACTTTACGGTATATTTATTTCCTGTAGCATTAAAACAGAGTGGGGAAATAACAGGGAAAACTGCTGAGGCTTTGTCACGAACCCTTTGGCTTTACCACATGCTGCCCAGGAGAACACGTAGGACAGGGGCAGGGATGGAGGGCAGGGATAATGCTGCTGCTGCTGCTGCTGCACATCACTCAGCTGGGGCTGCTGCTCAGAGGGCTTCCTCCTGAACGTGAAATAACAAATTGCAGCTCATCATAACACCCAGTTCCAGGGGCAATTCTTCATCATGAAACCTTGTGATGCAGAGAGGTCGCAGATCCAGGCACATCCCAAGCTACTTGGGGTAGCCCCATGCTGCAGGACCCTGGAGCAGGGGCAGCCTGACTAAAGCAGACAGACAGGGCAGACACAGCCTCAGCCCCAGTGCTGGCGTGCTTCTCCTTTATGATTCAGAGCAGGCAGTGGTACATTTTTCCCCCATGTTTTAAGGCCATGTTTGAAAGCCAGCAGAATTTGCTGGTGGGAGCCCAGGCTGTCCTTCACCTGTTTCACATCTTTCCTCTGAAAGCACTGCATCCCAGCCAGCCTCCAGACAAAGCAAAACTGGGAGTAGCAAAACTAAGGAGGAGGCTGGCCAAAACCCCATTGCCTGCCCAACCAATATTTGTCGCACCCCACTGAAGCAGGGCGACAAATGGCAGGACTCCCTGCATCCAGCCCCAGCGAGGCACATCTGACTGGGGACCACACAGTATGGCCAGATGCATGCTGCCAGAGAACAGAAACAGAAGGATTTGGCCCAGTGAAAGATATGCAGAGCTCACAGTGTAGCCTCCTGACTGCAGGAAGGGCCCCGTAGCTCCATGCTCCGTGGTTGTCAGCCCCTGACCCCTCCTTCCAAGCTCCTGCAGGTGGCCCTTGCTCCAAATTGGTCTTTTTTAAAACTGTTTAGCTGCTTTTGCAAATCCAAGATTTTATGGATGGAAAGCTGAAAGTAATTAGTGCCCTTCCCCCGTTTCCTGTTGGGAAAAGGAAGAAAAAAAGCACACCCGAGAACAAAACCCAAAACTTCCTGCCCTGCTTAATAATAATGTAATGAGTTGAATGTGACTGGGAAAGTCGATTTACACTGGGTGATCTCTTAATTAAAGAAGGGCCAAGCAGAAATTCTGCTCCATTTTACAGCCCCACGTATTTTCGAGCTCCACCGCAGCCTCTGAGAGCTGGGCACAAGTACTGCGGGCACTGCCTCCAGCACAAGGGGATGGCTGCTCAGCATCCTGGAGATGGCACTGAGGCCGTGTGGGGGTGAAAGGACCAACACTCAGCCCCATGGGGAGGTAGTGTGAAGGGTCGTGAGGCTCTGTGCCCCACATTCTCAGCTCTGGGAGGGGGCTGGAGCACAGGAATGGTTTTGTTGTGGAAAATGGCAGAGATGGGCACCAGGGGTGTCCTTAGCGCACCTCACCCCCCCGGGACAGCCTCATCCAAAGGCTCTGTGTGACAACAGGATGTGCCAGCCCCACGGCCACACCACCCGTGCTGGGTCACCCAGTCACCAGCCTATGTCCTGGTGGTCCCTAGCACCAGGGGAATTGGTTCCCATGGGGAATCTCAAGGCATACTAGGTGCTCCCCACTGCAGTCTCACCAGCAGCCCTCTACCTGCTCCTGTCTCTTCACAGCTGCCCCCTTCCCCCCAGCCCCACACAGCTGCAGGAACTGACTCAGCCTACCTTTTCCTTCCCCAAGAAACGGCTGTGCCACAGCCCCTGCTGTGCAGCAGCACTTGTGGTTCACCTGCAGCCAGCGTGAGGAGCAGGAGAACCACTGGGGCCCCGCACTCCACTCCCCAAACCGTGCTCAGCTCAGCTATGCATTCACCAAAGCACACACAGAACCAGATTATAAATTAACCATTTTATTGAATATCAATAAACTGTATATAATTATATAAAAGTTTTATCAGTACAAAATCATGGCACAAAAATATAAATACCAGTGTACCTTTGAAACGTAAACATCCTCTTTGTTATGATTCTGTAAAAACAATGTCCAAAGAGACGCATTCAGGAGGCACCTGTCAAAAACCATAAATAGCCCTTCTGGCACACACCTGTCGGTGGGCAGCCTTTGGACAGGCCACCATTGTATCGCTGACAAGTGCCGGCTATTAGTCACAGTCCTCTTTGAAAAGCAGTTGTTAAGAGTCATATTAACAGGTGCTTGAGTGCATAGCTGCTCTGTAAACAGGATTCTTGTTTGAAATAGCTACCAATGCCTTTTATGGACACCGTTAATCTTGCAGGCATTGCAAATTGTCATTGTGCTGGGAAGAAGCAGCTGCTTCACAACTAATGTGATACTGTATTATTGCATAGTTACACCTTCTACTTGCAGCTTATATACAATCGAGACAGAGGGAAAGAGATTGTGTTAACACTTCGTCTTCCATTAAAGAAAATATTGGTTCTTAGAAATTACCAAGTGGTTATGGGGGAAAAAAAAAAAGAAAAAAGAAAAAAGAAAAAAAGAGAAGAAAAAGAAAAGCAACCCCCAGAGCTACACAGCTGCAATGCCCAACACTGGTGGCACGCCAGGATGCAGTGCCACCTGCGAGGTGCTGCTATGCTCCAGGCCTCACAATGCCTCTCATGGGAGTCCACCCTGCACCCAAAGATGTCCAGATGGAAGCAGGATCAGGCCTTGGGGTTGCACAGGAGCACAGGACGGGGAGCGTGCATGTCTTGTGGCTGCATACAGTTCGAGGTGCATGGCAACGGCAGCACGGAGGGAACTAACTCCTACAAACACTAGGTACGATACATGTATCTGCACGGGAAAGGAGTGCTGGTCCTCAGCGTGCCCCTGAGCAACCCGTCTCTTCGTGCTTGTGCAGCAGCGACATTCGGGAGAAAGTCCGGGAGCAGGTTTTGCACTGGTACTTCTTTACATCTGAATGCGTCTGCAGGTGGGCGCGCAGATTAGAGCGGTCAGCAAAGGCCCGGTTGCAATGTGTACAGGAAAAAGGCTTTTCACCTATGAGACAAAGAGAAACGTTCCCAATTAACCACTGCATCAACACATGGGGAATATCAAAGAGCAAGCCATTTATTAGCCAGCAATCGTGTGAAAAGGAGTGCTCGCAGCATTACTGGGATGAAAAGCGGCACGGGAAGGCCTGCATTCACCGAGCAACGCCTCCAGTTTGGGAATTTCCTACTCAAAAAAATCCCTGATGCCAGAACCATCTGCAAGAAGCAGGGCAGCTCCCGCACAGCGAGGCCCTGCCACGGTGTCACAGCGTTAGGGCTGAGCACAGCCATTTCCTCCCCCAAACCCTGTACTCCCCCTTCTCCTTCCTGGAGGCATTGAAAGGCCCTGGCCAGGCTGAATTCCTCTCGATTCTTTTGGAGGAAAAGAATGTGCATGCTCAATTTGGAAAGCACAATCAAGTCTTGCCAGCTTCCTTCAGCCATCATCTTTAGTACTCTGAGAGGGTACGAAATTAGTGCCAAGGAACCATTACACCATCCCAACAGCACCACAAAAGATGCTCGAGTGATGCTTTGTGGGCATGAGGAGAGTTGCAGCTGCGCATGGCCCCAAACAACAACAGGTGCATGAGGCAGCTGCCAACACCTGCCTGTAACTCTGGGACCATGAGTTGCAGAGCTACGGGTGATGCCAGGTGCCATGGCCCTGGGGCAGAGGCCATGGTGGTGAGCAGCAGGTCTCTGAGCATGGAGCTGCAATAGGACCAAGCATCCCAGCACAGCACAACAGCCCCAGCTTCGAGGCACACATTCCCAAGCTGTGTCTTTACTCCACAGTCAGTTCCAACTAGAACATTTAAAGAGACGCGCCAAGGGAGTTTGGGAAGCCCATATCTTCCAAGATAATAGCCTGGCAACTGGTTTGCTCTGGGCTAGGAGCAGGGAATCGATAAGGGTGGGAGGAGGGCTGAGTAGCATTGTTACCAGTGTGCGTGCGGATGTGGCCCTGCAGCAACCAGGGCCGGGAGAAGGCCTTGCCGCACATCTTGCAGACACAGGGCAGCGTGTGGCTCCGGATGTGCATCTTGAGAGCCCCCAGGCTCACGTACTCCTTCTCGCAGTACTTGCAGCTGAAGGATTTCCTGGTCTGAACATCGCAGTGCAATTGCTTGTGCTTGGAGAGCCCAGCGAAGGTGGAGTAGGCCTTGGCGCACTGGGCACAGCGGAACCGCTCAGCAGCAGAAGGGGCTGAGGCTGGGCTGGGTGGTCCTGAGCTCTTGCCCTCATCCTCCTCACTAGAGAGTGTCGTCAGGTCCAGCGCTGGTGCCGCACCACCTGCTGCCTCTGCCTCGGTGCCCAGGCCAGCTGGGAAAAGGCTAGAGAGCAGACCAGCATCCCACACCAGCGGCGGGTAATAGGCCCCAGGGCCCAGCACTTCGGGTGGAGGGATGACGGACAACGCACACGTCTCATACAGCAGCGGGGCAGCAAACACTGTAGGCAATAGGTAGCACTCAGTGGAGCACTCACCCCATAAGAACAAGGGGCGTAAGGACCCCAATCCACCCCACTGGTAACAAGGGGACTCCGACCTGTCATGTTAGGAATGGGGGGCAAAGGAATCTTAGTCTGTCCCACTGAAAATGGACGGGATGAACTCACCCGAATGGGAACGGGAATGGGGGTACACGGAGACCTCAACCCACCCCACAGTGGGCTCTGCACCCACGGGAACAGGGTGCTCGAACCCACACCACGCCCCAGCTCAAAGCAAAGGGACTCAACCGCATCCCACAGCCACCCCATGCCCCAACGCACCCCGGAGCCAGAGGGACACTTGGGGACCCCAAACCGACTCCAAGAATCCCAAGCCCACCCTGCGGAGCACTCACTGCCCACCCCGGGGCAACACGGAATCACCGCACAGAGCGAGGCGCCCCGCTCAGCGCGGCGCCGAGGGACGGTGGAAAGGTCACCACTCACCCCAAGGGTCTCTGCCTACCCCGGGGCACTACGCAGCCGCTCCGCTCCTCCGCCTACCCCGCGGGACGCTCCTCGCGGTAACAGACAAACGAACTAAAAATCCCACAGCCGCGCGGAAGGGCAGCGCACCACTCCGCTGCGGCAGGGAGAGGAAGGGCAGCCCGCACCCGCGAGACGGCTCGGCTCGGCACGCACCGGTCTGGCTCTCCAACTCGCTGTAGTTGGGCTTCTTGCTGGCCGAGAAGTGCTTCTTCACCAGGAACGAGCGCGGCATCGTGCTTGCCCGGCGCCACCGCCCGCTGCGGAACCTCCGCCTCTCAGCGTCCGTTAATATGGGCCCGGGCTGTACAGGGGGGCGAGGAGGGCGGTGCGGGGCCGCCCCCCGTGCCCAGAGCCAATGGGGCGGGCGGGGCGGGCAGACTACAGGTGCCGGCACCAGGCATAGCAGGTCCAGCATCTGCTGGAAAGGGGTGCGGAGCTCGGATTTCTGGTCCGGAGCCCTCCCGGTCCTCTCCCACCGCTCCGTCCTCATGGGCTCACAGCCGCCTTCACTTCCCCGGCGTTGCCAGCGGACCCCGGGTGCGGGAGGGAGGGGGGTGGGCGGAGCTCTCCGGGGGGGTCTCGACTCCACGCTCGGCGCCAGCCTGCTCGGCGGCAACCTCGAACGCAGAAGCGGGAAGCGCGGCAATACGGCCCGAGGCTGCAGCTCGGGGGGCAGCCGCTCCCCGTCTCGAGAGGAGGCGGTCGGCGAACCCTCCTGAGCCCCGCGCTGCGCGGCCCGGCCCTGCCACGTTCCTCCTTTGCTGCTCGTCGCCGTCGCGGGCTGCCCGCAGGCGCTTCTTCCCGCCTCTCCCCGAAGCAGTGTGAATGTGCTCCCCAGGGCCGGAGCCGCTGGGGACAGCCCGGATCAGCCGGGCCTGGCGCCGCCTCCCGGCGGGCCGAGTTCTCCCCCTGCCGGCAGCCGGGGCGGACCGCGGGAGACGCCCTCAGCCGCGACCCGCACGAAGCGGTGCCCGAAGGCGCTCCCTGACGGCCTCTTCGGATAGAAAGTCACGGCCGCCGCGCTAACAATCGGGGGAGGAGGCCATCGCTCAGCTGGCTGCCACTCGCGCTACCGCGCTGCTTTGCGGCTGCCTCAGAAACCAAAGCACTTTTATTCTCCTGACCCCGTTTACCTCAATCCTTTTTATCTTCTCAAGTCTTTTGCTGCAAACAAGCATAAGAAAACAACTTTGAAAATAACAGCTGAGTTTCTGAAGGCTGCCTGGAGCTGGCAAGAAATACCTGCATAGACCCCAAACTTCTGACCATGAGAGATGAATCCTTACACCCACCTTGCCAGGGAGCATCCATGTCTGCCAGAATCCCTGCAATAAATCCGCTGGGCTTTGCTTCGAGGACTCAGGACAGTTATTGCCAAGCAGGCCCCAGGAGTACCCAGCATTAACCCACACTTAATGCATTATTACAGAGTCCTTTACACGATGGGATCAACTGCTGCAATTCCAGGTGAAGTTATGCCAATTGCTTTAGGCATTTAATACTGACATCAATTTATCTGCCTGATTAAGGCCAGTCTTTGACCAGAGACAGATTCATAGGAAAAACAAAACAAAAACCAACAAACCCTCAAACACACGCTTGTCTCTGCCCATTCTGTACCCCTTTCTATGTGCTGATTTCCCTAATTCCCAGTGCTAGACACTAGGAATTTCACAGGTTGAAGGCAGCCCGACTGCATTATCACTAGCAGTGGGCCATTATCATTAGCAGTGGGACTTGTTGCAGCTGCAAGATCAGCTGCTGACAAGGTGGTAGCAGCCCTTCTGGCAGCGTTTCGTTCTCCTGCAGTGGTACTTTACCAGGTTCTGAAACCAGAATTAGCTTGTTCTGTAACAATCCTTTTTTGGAATGATGAGTTTCTGCATACAGATGAGATAAATCAAGGTTAAGCACGTGTCTCTCACCAGTGTCTTCAAATTAATGAGCAAATACCACTGAGACATATCACCGTTTGTAAACAAGCTTGTTAAGTTGATGAAGTCAGCAGCACAGAGATACTAAGCTCATCAGCACTTAAGTGGAAAACTACAGCTCAACTTCTGAGTGCCTATATGGATGCTTATCACTGCACAGATAGCAGTGCTATAAATTCCACTGTTAAAAGCTAGGAGGTGCCAGAACTTCACTCCTTACTCATTCACAGATTTAATCAAAATTCAAGTAGATCTGGTGTGCATTTTCCAGTTTGCGTTTGTCCCATGCGTGAAATAATTCCTTGTAAGTTGAAGCAAATCAAAGCCAAGATGCACAGTCAATGAGCAGGTCCATACAGACAAGGTATGATCATAAGGCCTGAAAAAACATTTCTCATCCTTCAGGGCTGCAAGACAATCCCCACCTTCCGGTTTCACAGGCAAAGGAAACAAAGCTGAAGTCTGTCTGTTTCTTTCCCAGTTTCTGGCATGCTCCCTGGAGCTCTACATAGCATTAAGAACTGTTTTGGAGAGATGTGAAACAAAGTGTACAGATCATGAGGAAGAAATGACAGAAGCTGACATGAAGATAGAATTTTATAAATTAAATGAACTTTATTTATAACTTGTCTTCAAAATTCAAAAAACACAAAGTAATTGCTCAGAAGCTTCTAACTGCTCCTTAAACATTTAATCTAAATTGCATGGAAGTGCACTTCAAATAGCAGCAGAAATCTAGATTTAGGTCAATTTGCACCACAAAACTCCATCCTAGCCAGAACCTAGAAATCTCCACTCAACCACCAACATAGTCATCTTTTCACAGATCAAGCGTTAGAAATAACCAACTCCAAAGCAAAGTACTTTTTCCCACAGTGCCATGAGTATTTTTGCTAAGACTGAAACTCTGTTCACCAGCAGATACTTACGGCTGAGTCTATAAGTAGCCTATTCCAAGTTTGGGAAAACATACTAAAAACAAGCTAAATATGTTAGAGGTCTTGCTGAACACAAAGTTTAGTCAAGATTTTAGCTGGGGTACATTTAATAAGGGTAAGGCTACGCTCTGTCTGCAGGGTATGAAGATATTATTTGTGAAAGAAACTAATCAGTACTCTATTCTGTGGTGGTACAGGTCCACTGCTCCAATTAAGTATGCCAAGTTGAATTACACTACTCTGGTTTACAGCTTCTGCTCAGGTGTCTCAGATGGCTAGATCTCAGCATCATGATTGTGCAGTTAAAGTGTTAAAAGGAAGCTCAATAGTGAAAGTGTATAATTGAGTATCAAGTATCCGTTTTCCATGTAAGGGAACAGTCATCCTGCTTTCTTGTTTATATTTTACTTTTTCTTTGAAAGCTATACCTGCATACTATATATGTAATACATGGAAAACACAATCTAAGCATAGCTTTAGCAACATTTAAATGAAGAACGTAAATTCAAAATACTTCTTGAAATCTGTGATGCGGAAAGGTAGAGCTGTGCAAGTGCCATGGAATCTAAGATTTGCTTCCAGTTTGCCGTGAGAGATGGAACAATTAAAAATAAATACATTTAAACAAAAATTTTCATAGAAGGTGGAGATACTGATTTTTTTTCTGAACTCTCTTATGAGCATAATGCTTAAGAAGCCTAGAAAACCAATTTCTGAAAACACTAATTGAATCACAAAGTCAGCAGATATGATTGATATTTGCTTTAGCAATTGAACTAACACAAAAGATCTATTTTCTAGGCTTGAAATTATGGTCAAAGTGTGGAACAAAATAATAATCAGGCGTAGAACTAAAATACTTTGAACTAGTTTCTTACCTAGCTGCAAACATCTACTAAGAAAAACTGTAGTTTGAAGACTCATACTAAAAACTTGTTTTCCATGTAACTGAGAGAACGCCTGTAAGAGTTCAAATACTGCTAAAGATGAAATCACAGGCAGAGGCCACTTTGAATAAGAACTGATCTGACAGTTACAACTAGCACCTAGAGGTCTCACTTAAGAAAAATACATACCAATACACCTCTTATACTATCACCTAAGAAATGTAAACAACATTAGGAGGTCCAACTGGTTTGGACCATTCAGTCTGGAATATTTCTGCATTTAGAGTCAAATGAACACAACTGGAAAAAATAACTCATCAGAAAACAGGCATAGGTGAAGGGAAGTAAGTCAGCATGGAGGAGACTTCTAATTGAGCTCTGTGTGAAGCAAATAAGAAAATTAAACTTACGTGGTTAACAGAAGATCCAATGATACAAACATATCAAACAGGAATTTGAAACCAAGACAGATTAAAAAGTCTTCCATATTTCTGGATGCCTGAGCTCATCTTGGGATGTACAGGGTGAAGTGCAAGGATGCTGGGCGCTTCCCCCCCATGGAAGCTTGGTTTGACAGTTAGTCTTTCACATTTTTAAATTTTATTTATCCCGCAAAGAACGCATCAAAACCTGTGCCATCATATCATCTTCATCAGCATCATAATCCTATGAACAAAAGGTACAGAAATTCTTTTACTGCAACAGCCATGGTGGTTAATCTAACACAAAATAAAAACAGAAAACAGCTGCCTCATCTTCTAACTTGCCAATAATCCAATTTGTCTCATGATACCATCTGCATAAATTGGATTTCATAGTAGTGACTATGTAAAAAGTTGTTTTAAGAGTCGTCGGGCTCATGTACTCCAAGGGTGAGAAAATACATACCACAAAAGTATCATATGAAAACCGGTGTCGTCTTTGAAGGTGCTCCATGAAGTTAGCACTCCTGTAATTTGGATCTCCCCATGGCATTGAGGCACAAATTGGGCAAACCTTGAAGAAAAAATTAAAAGTCAGTTAGGCCCCAACAGTTAAACGTGTTAACATTTATACTATGAAGGGCAGAAGAGACAGTGACTGAAGTCAGATTTGTAACAATCACTACTCTCTAAGAAAAGTGATGTCAAACACTTTACTGGGCCATTCAACATTCAGGTTTAACAGAGGCTTTTATTTAAATTAATTTCCTATGCCTCTGAATGAGAATGGTTTATTCTTCTCTCTACATACTGCTGATGAGAATCAGTCACTGCTGTTTGCCTCAGAAGATCTCAAACTCCATTAATCAATAACAAAGAAGTTTTCTTGGTCATCTTCACAAAGATCACTTCTCACCAAGACTTTTTTTTTTCCTAAATAAATTCCAAATTCCTAAGAACTTTAAAAACAAATGAAGGTTTCCAATTCAGTTCCAAGTTTTGCAATACCTTTTTATAGAAAATGGAGTATAATTTGGAGATAAAAACTACCAAAAATAGATACTTTTTTTTTTTCCCCAATCAATATTCACAATAGTTTATAATATTTTATTGCTGAGAATAGCAGAGGGGAAATTAATGCTTTTTTTTTTTTTTTAATACATTGCATTAATTTTATCCCTGTTACTGTGCCTATAGTACTTCGAATGCCTACCGTTTTTCAAATATGAGGTGGATGTGAAGTAGATGTAAATTGACTTTAATAGAAGCAAGTATAAATACGTACTTAACTTCAAGCAGTAAGGCTCTAATTCACTGTTTCAAGGGGATTTAAGACTAGACTTCATTGCAATTCTTGCACCAAGACTTTTTATTACCACTTGTCTTGCATCCATGCTGTGCAATGTTTTGCAGTGTTCAACTAGTCCTTCTTGATCAAAGTTTTTCTCACTGCAGTACGGACAAGGAAAGGTAAAGCGATTTGGGAAGTTCCTGGTTCAGGGGGAAAAAGATGAGATATGTTGTCATATTAGTTAAGTTAAAAGCACCAAAAAAAAAATAATCTATCTTTTTAGAATAGTATAAAAGGCTTTGAATTTGCTACCTGGAAGTTATCTTACAAGCGACTAAGAGTAAAAATTATTCAAAACAGTAATTTTATTCCATGCAATCAAGACAAACAAATTTAAAGAATCATCTTTTAAATTCTTAATGAACATCTTATGTAAATCTTCACATCATAAGCTTCTACACAAAGGTATTTCTTCAGAAAATGTTATAAATGCCATTTATCGCCTTCTTGTATTTTTTACGTTTTTAAACGCACAGGGTATCAATCACCCAGAACACTAAAATGCCGTCAGCTCCACATTCACTTTGTTATAAGTTACTACAATCAAAAGACAGAAAGACAGCTATTATTAAATAAGGAGCTGCTTGTATCAAGTACTCCAATCTTCTCTTGTGCAAAGACTGCATAGAGAAGGAGAATAGTTTGCTTAGGTGCACTCAGTTGCAGGATTGTGGCCTATTCTTACAGCGTGAAACGTTAATAAACAAACTAAGGAATGACGGAAAGTCTGCTTTCACAGCAAAATTATAGTTTGCACCAAACGCCATAACACAGCGTTGGCTTTGTTTTGTCTTTTTGTTTGTTTACATAAAAGACCTCTTCTCAGAAGTGGAATCAAATTTGAGATTTTGTATGGATTATTTGGTAATAGTCCTCTTTTTGTGATCCTAAGTATGAGTATTTCCAGAGAAGAGCTACTTACCTGGTGTTGTGAAGTGGTTCTTTAGTTACAGCTTTCACACCTTCCATTATGTAATTCTGGTACTTTGAACAGGAGGCTGCATGGCTGCGCATCTTTGAGAGGAACATCTGCTTAGACAACAATCACACAGCAGTTACACTATTTGCAGCAGGACTACACACAAAGTCTTCTGCAGCCAGTGCTACAGCAGGAAGAAATAAGTATTTCAGCTGGTGAGCTGGAAGGCTTTGAGATTACAAATTAGTTAATGTATAACTGCTGCCTGTAATATTTTACAAATACAACACTGTTCCATTGTACTTATCTTCACCTATACTCCAGTACCAGAAAATATACGAAGCCAGCTTATGTTGTTACTGAGAAGAGATGACATGGGAAATAATTTAGCTTTCTGCACATACTGTGACATAGGTTTAAATACAAACTTTCTTAATTTGAACTTTCATTAGTAGGACTTAACAATTGATAATCAAGGTACTACAGCTATCTATCAGCCGCATCGATGAAAATAGCACTATCCAGAAATAGTGAAATCAATGCAACACCTCAGTATTGGCTACCAAACCAAACGCTTTGGGAAGCTTTGAAGAACCTATAGAAAACAGAGCAGGACCGGCATCCCCGCGGGGCGCAGTTACAGCACATCGCACCCGCCTCAGCCCTCCCAGCTCTTCGCCGGGTCCCACCTTCTTGCCGCAGCCGCTGCAGGCAGTCTCGGTGCTCTCTATCAGCTGCTCCAGGTCCAGCGCCCTGCTGCCGGCTGTCAGCGCGCCGCGGCACACACCACACACAGGCTTCTTCGGCTTCAGGCACTCCTGCAGACACGGCGTGCAGAACCTACGCCGGGACAAGGACACAATGAGAACAGCCCAGGGTCTCCGCGCCTTTCCCGTGCGGTACGGAGCGGCGGTCCCGTGCGCTGCCCGCAGTCCTACGGGCCGAGAGGGCCCCGCGCGGCCTCCCTCCTCGCCCGCACTCCTCCTTAGGCCGCTCACACGTGTCCGCAGGGCACCCGGACGGGACTGTCGAACACCTCAAGGCACACAGGGCAGGTGAGACGCGCCAGCAGGTCTGGCCAGGGCTCAGGGGAGCGCAAACCACCATCCCCGCCACCCGCCACCGCCATCTTCCCGCCGCCAACCAGGAAGTGGCTCCTACGCAACCGCAGCCCCACCCCAACGCCAGGCGCTGGGGGGCGCTGGGGGGCGCTCAGGCGCTGCGGGGTGCGACCTGCCGCTGGGAGGAGGGGGCACGCGACGACCCCGCCCCTCAGCCGTCTGACGTCACGCACCGAAATGCCTTTCACGAGAGGAGGCGGTGCCTTTCTGCCCTCCACCATCTACTTCCGGGGCGCCGCTGTCAGCTGCCTCCTGCCGCTCACAGTGTCCGCAGCTCGCGGGTCGTGCCCTGAGGCTGGAGGTGCCCGCACCTCTGCTGGTAAGCCCTTCCTGGGGCTGTTTGCCGCTGGGACGGTGTAGGCGCGGTGTCTAGTGGGCTCCTCACCTGCATCCGGGTCACCGGATGCTTCCGGCTGAGCGACGGTGGGCCGCAGAGCGGTGAGGGGCAGGCGCGGCCCGCGGAATGCGGTGCCGTGACCTTCAGCGGTAGGAGGCGGTCCCGCGGGGCTGCCGAGGGTTCGGTGCCAGGCTAGGGCCGCGCCCGCCCGTGAGGGCGGCGGTCCGACAGTGCTGGGCCGCTCTGTTCTCCGCGGCTGCCCTCGGTGTCCTGGCTGGAGGAAGGTTTGCATCAGGTGGGTGCTAGGTGGAAAAGTGCTCGCGTGTGCTGAGTTTGGTGCTTGTCCTGCGTTTGGTGGTGGACTTTGTGTGTGCTCTTAGTTCTTTGAATCGTTCTTGGACTCCGGTTAGCTTTTTATTAGTGCTATTTCTATTTTCAAGCGTTTGGTGAAGGCCTTAGATCTCTGATGTTATTGGCGTTGATGGCAGTAAGGGCCTATGGTGTTTTTCCCAGGAGCTTTTGCTTCTGGGATAGCTGTATGTGTGTGTGAGTAGAGGAGGAACCCTGCAGGGGCTGCCTTGATTTTCTTGCTCTCAGTTGCCTGAGCTCTGGCATACATATAAACATCAAGTCAGAGCTGGGGCTGATGATGGTTGTGAATATCACAGTTTATGGGGTCTTGCTGAAGTCCTTTCTTGTAGACGCTTTTTTAATCCTGAGCTTTCATGTGGAGCTCTTTTGTTAGGCAGTTATTAATGCTGTACATGGAAGAATGTTAATACTTGATCCAACTTCTTGCCTGCCTAAGCCATTGTTTCTCCAAAGGGTATGTTACTAATGTACAAATCAGACTGAGCTCTTCATGCTAAGTATAAGTGATTAGGTTAGTTTTGTGTATTAACTTGATCTTGTCCAGCCTGAGAAAAGGAGTGAGAGGGAAGAGCAAACTCTTTGTGGAGAGAGCTAAATTATGTTTTTTCTTCTCTTTTCCTAACACTAAGATGCAAATTGAGAACTGGGCACCGCAATTCATGGTTTCTTCTTTTGATATTAGTGCAAATTCTGACTGGGGGAGCAATGAGCTGTATGCCTTTAAGCAGAAGTTAAAACAGTGAACTTTTCTTGTGCCGTGGTCATTAAGCACATCCTTTTCTCAAGTAACATTAGCTGCTAAGCTATTGGCTTGCTTGCTTTTCTTGGCCTCCTATGGCATGTGGCTTTTTTTGTGGCTTTTTTTTTCCCCCTTGTCTGTGTAATGGTTACTCTTATGGACTTAATTTTGACCTTATTGGTGATTTGCATTTTGACAGGTGGCATTGATCAATATCCCAGCAGCTGGAATTAATAGAGAGTGTTTTTTTGAAGTGTTGCTTCAGCGTCTCTGCAGCTGAATTAATGCTTTGTCTCTCTCCATTTTGATTTGCAGTTGAGAAGTGCTAGATTGTACTCTCATAAAACACAAAGACCGTGGTTTACTTTACTTTTTAATCACAAATTCTTCAGGTTGTCAAGATAGTCTGCTAGACTCCTCGTTACTTGGCTTTGGGGAATTAACATGGAGAGGCTTGTTTTGGCATCAGTTATTTCTGTGTAGTGTGGGAATAATTATTAGTACATATGAAATAAATCACAATATCTGATTAAAATCATGATTGTGTAAGTTGGTTGATCTAAAACAGTAAAATAAAACAAGATCGTGAAAGCTTACGCTTTCCCTTTCAGTCTGTAGTTATGAGTTACTTTGGCCATGGTTCCCTAACCCAAGGAATCCTCAATGTGGATATGAGCCTACGTGGACTTTCTTTTATCAAATTCCTAGGGCCTTGTTTGATTTAGGTTTGCTGTGTTCTGTTATATTCAGATAAATTGAAAACAAAGAATAGAATAATGGGAAAGCAGGACACTAGTATTCCTGTTGATGCATGTGCTTTTTCAGAAACCCAGGAAGGTTGAGAGGTTGTTTTGGGAGCTACTCTGCTGTGAATCATTTTATAGAATCCTGTGAAGTAAATAGGTGCTGTGGACATCTGGGACTTATGCAACTGTGATGACTTGTCTTTGTTTTCAATTTTTATTCCAGAAGAGTTGCCATTTCCGAAGATTCTTAATACCAGATTATCAACCAACTGCCCAATAACCATGAAAGAGACAAAGTAGCTTCCCAGGCCTGAGACAAAAACTGATTTCAATGGATACAAAATATAAAGACGATTTATTTAGAAAGTATGTACAGTTCCATGAATGCAAACTGAGTGTCTCTGACAGCAAACAGCCTCCTATTAATGATGAATATTTGCGAGTGGCAGCATCAGCCTTATTTTGCCTTCCCAAAATTGATCCCTTTTATAGATTCCGGTTGATAAAATTTTATGAGATGGCTGAAAACTCACTGAGATCTCTGAAATCCTCAAGTTTACATTCTCTGCATAATGCATTCAGCATGCTTGAGACTCTTGGAATTAATCTCTTTCTATATCCCTGGAAGAAGGAGTTCAAACATATTAAGGTAAGACATTTATATTTGAAGACATAATTTTTTTTTTAAACATGTCATGCATTTAGCTTATGACAACTTTTTTTTCCTATATGTTAGAATGATTGATAATGTGGCTATATACAGCTGGTAAATAGAAACCACCAGAGGTGAAGTACATGAAGTGTGTGATGGTGAGACTGCCCAAGAGAAGTACAAATACTGTATCCATTTCTAAAGTAACCATAAAATATGGGAAGAGCTTATTTAAGGTTTTTGTTTGCCTTTTCTCCTAATGCGCTTAATTTCTACTTGGAGGTGCTTTAACATCAGGGAGTAATTAAATTGTGTTTAAGTTCATAGCCTTTCATTTTACATCTGCTATTACTGTAGCACAAGTACTAGTGATCAATGTGTGGTTTTAAGCAGGTGCTTTGCTGAGGTTCCCATAAGTTATGTGATGATGTTGAAGGATTCACTGAAATAGTTGCCTCTAGAACGTATTTTACTTGCTTGTAATTTTGAATCATGAAATTTTAATTCTAATGCACTTTCAAATTATTCATCTATACTATGACCTCACAGGGAAAAGTATAAACTTGTGTGTTGCTTGACTTGAGTACTGCAAGTCTGCTAATAAGATGTCTGCTGTCAGTTTTCAGTTTTATTTTTTGTTATCCCTATTTTCCTATTCGAAGCTGCTGTAGCATTTCAACAATAAGCTCTGCAGGTGACTTGAATGTTTCTGAGACTTGGGTAGAAACAACATTTCTGGTGTATGTCTGAAGTCTTTGGCAGGTTGTGTGTGCTAGTGATGGGCTTGCTTTCTTTTTTTTTTTTTTTTTTTTTCTTAATAGACAGTATTTTGCAATTTAGCAGAGAGAATTTTAACGTGAATGGTGCATTTCATAGAATCATAGGGTGGTTTGGGTTAAAAGAGACCTTAAAGATCTAAAGTTCTTAGCCTCCCGGCTACGGGCAGGGGTGATTGACAGTCTTTCTCCTAAGGGAAGACCATTACTTCATACTAGATCTCTCAGTGTATCCGTGTCACTACGCTTAAGTTCTGGCCTACGGAATGCTTGCTGATCCATCCAGGATATCTCTAAGTGCACTGCTAATATTGGCTTTGGTTGTGTGCTGTGGATCTACTTCTTGTTCTGGACAAATATACAATGGCCAAGGCATTCCTCTCTGCAGTCAGAAGCAATTTGGCCTGTGTTAAGAGTATACTTCAGGTATGCCAGATGCCAAGGGAACTGCAACTTAAACAAAATCACAATTGTTTTGGGGCTTTGTTACTGGAAGCTCTTGACCATTGGAGTTGTGTAGTAATTGTACACCTTACTCTCCACAAAATAAAGTGCCCCTGAATGTAGCTAAATATGCATTGAAGAAGACTTAAATGCTTTTGCAGTAATGCCATCTTCCTGTTATATTCAGTTGCTTCTTGTCCACGAGGAATATATGAAATCTCTGCCTTTTTTTGCTTTAGTATTAGACTTACAAACACATGTCTGGTGTGTATAAAAGTTAGTGTCATTGTACACAATAATGATTTAACCCAACAAGAAGGATACCATGCTAATCAGAACTTCAACTGGAATGAAAATTCTCCTATTTGGAACTTGCTTCAAGCAGAATTTCCATCTGCTGAAACAGGAGGGCTACAGAAACGGAGTTCATCTTACCGTGGGAGTTGCATGTCTTCTCTGTAATATTCTATTTAATTCTATAGTATCTGTCACTGAATTTTCTGAAAATCTAGTCTTCCGCTGAATTTGTAACCTAGTTTTCCTTTTATTCCCCCCACCTCCTTAGACCTACACGGGACCCTTTGTATATTATGTAAAGTCTGCCCTCACTGAAGATGATGTAAGGCAGATTCTGAACTACATGGGCTATGTCCAAGAAGTGGGAACAATGTATAAGCTCAAAGAGCAGATTGATGCTATTCAAGTGAAAATGGTTTCATTTGAACTCTTTTTGGCCAAAGTGGAATGTGAGCAGCTTCTTGAAATTCATTTGCAAGTGAAAGATAAAGGCTATTTGGAGATCGATGTCATAAATGAACGAAAAAATAGCAACGAAGATACTAGAGGCTGCTCAGAAGCTATGAAACGGCGGGCAGAATGTAAAGAAAGCTTAAATACTTCCATGGCACGAATGGTACTTCAGAAATCAGCAAGTGAACGGGCCTCTAAGGATTATTTCAAGCCAAAAGTGAGCAAGGCTTCTAAATCAGTAGACACATATGACAGTTATTGGGAAAATAAGAAACCACCATTGATGAGCTCATTGAGTCTCAGGAAAGAGCCAATCTTAGTTGATGTGGAAGATGACATCAAAGATGAAATTATTCGTCCATCACCCTCTCTTCTGACAATGTCAAGCTCACCACATGCATGTTCAGATGAATTCTTGCCAACTTCATCTCATCCTAATGGCATGTTGAGAACAAATGTCCCTTACAGCTCCTATTTTTCTGCTCAAGAGGATTTAGATATCTATACTGATCCTGATACTAGAAGTATGTTAAATTTTAAAAGGCAGGAAGCTATTAAGCCTGATGTGTGGCTGTTAAAAAATGATGCCAACCCTGTTTACCACAAACGCGCCCACCTAGCCAAAGAGACAGCTTCCCTCAAGTGCCAAAACTGTGGTGTACCTTGTGGGGCTTCTGTTTGCCAAAAGTGTGACAATCTGTTCAACTCCAGGCAGGACTACCCGGTAGTGAAACAGAGCACCTATTCCATCAAACCACTTCCAAATGATGGCTTATCTCCTGCCTCTGCTTTAAGAGAGAAACCTCAGTACACATCACAGACTCAAAGTCAAGAGAGAGCTTCTCAATTCAGTTCAAAATCGAAACCTGCGAGCACCTCACGCTGCGGCTTTTGTAACCGATCTGGAGCTGCAAATACTTGCATGTTTTGTTCAAAAGTCTCATGTGACACTTGCCTCAATGCTTACTACTATGATCCCTGCTGTAGGAAAAGCGAGCTTCACAGATTCATGCCTAACAATCAGTTAAACTATAAATCAACCCAACTGTCCCATGTTGTTTATAGGTAGATTTGATTGGTCCATTTTGGGGGGAAGGGAAAGGGCTACTTAATGTTCTGATGCCACTGATGAGAAGTAAAACACTGACCTCTTACAAAATTGACATGCCCAAATATTTGGAACGTGGTTCAGTGATCAGGTGCCAGTTCTTGATTTTTGTGGCTTAATAAATGCTGCAGATATATGATTTCATGCTGCTATTATTTAGGTAACTCCTAAATCATAATTAATTCTCAATTTAAGTGAGGGAGAACAGCACTTTTAAAAAAAAAATCTTGGCAGCTCTTGCATTATGGAAAAGTGACATCACGCATTTCGCACCATTTTAGTCTTCTCTTTGCCCAAATGAAGCTACGTGAGGCTCTGAGAATTAAGATTCACATTTTCTGTGGGTGTAAAACTACTGCCGTTTTTTGGTAAAGTATGACTCTCAAATGTGCAAGAAACATGTGAATAGCTTGTTTTGCCAACAAGGACTATTTTTCGAAACACCTGCCTTTTGTTGATCTCCAAAATCAAACTCCACAGCATCTCTTATCTTCGTTTCTTCCTTCTCTCCTTATGTCCCAGTTGTTTATCTTGAACTTATATAATCTGAATCTGAACAATATGTGCTTTATTTTCTCGTGTTGCCAATATCATCCTGCTTCTTTTTTTACTGTTCCACATTTTAAAAAGGTGAACTTGTATTTGTGTCACTTAAATTTTGCCTAGTGTTGTCCTTCCTGATGAGTACTCTTACTTTCTGTTGCACATATATTACGTACAGTTCTTTGTACTGTAAACAGGTAATTTGGAAACAGTTTATTTTTAATAAATATTTAATATGTTGAGTTCTTAAAGGTGGTAAAATCATTATAACTACTAAGTCTCTCTGGGTTATTTGTTCAGGTGACTTTTTGTTTCTACCTGTACTGTATTTCATAGCTTGTTGTAGTTGCTGTGGCAGGCTGACATTATTTACTCTGATCAGTTTTTTTAAATCCAGCTTTTCTTTTTTCTTCTGCGAAGGCTACCACTAATTTAGGTGGAGTCCTGTCTAAAAACTGCAAGATTTTGGTTCTCAGTGCACGCTTTTTCTTTGTGGTTATAGGAACTGTAAGTATAAATCTTACACTTGCGTCCAAATTCACTGCAGAGTTTGTAGTGTAGTCAGCAGGTAAAGCGCTGGCCTGATGAAAAATCAGAGCTCATGTGTGTATCCTGTGTTTACTATTAAAGTAAACCTAACAGTTACGGATGTGAATCTGGTAAATGATATTCATCTGTGTTACTGTAACACATAGGAACCCTTGTGCTAGGCTCTGTACGGTTTTGCCCCCAAGCAACACCCAGTTATTAGTAGGCTGTAGGGCCTCTTTGTTTCTTTTTGCATAGAGGAGATTCCTCAATAATCTTCCTAACTTCTTATATTCAGACTAGCTAGTTAGAACAAAATATCAGGCAAACCAATCTGATGTGCAAAGTTAAATGTCTTTAAAATATCTGTTAAAAAAACAAAACAAAAAACCTCTAGCTGAATTGTAAACTATGTAGTCCACTTTGTACTAAAGTTATTCACTTAGGGTTTTTTTAAACACTGTTTGAGTCTGGGCTTTGAAATGTAAATGTTGACCCCTGTGTGACAGAGGTGTGCATGAAAGATCATTTTTCTTAATTTCTGGGGGGAGTGGGTAGAGGACTTGAGGTGTAGGTGTAGGAGGAGGCATATAGGCTAATAATGTAAAATAGCTGAAATAATGTTAGCTGTTAATGTTAGTAAATGGGTCTCAGAAGTATTATGAAAATAGAGTGAAACTTGAGTCTTGCAGAGGGCTGAGAACAATAAGTTACTGTACAGCTTGCACTAAGAGACAAGATGAGTGGTATGTATTTAGCAGTCGGGAATTTCGGAATCAAGCAACTGCAACTGAATATTATGTTATAGGCAAGTATTGCCTTTCTGACCCTGAAGGTTGGGGTAAACGTTGTTTAGGTGAATGATTTTAAGGTTTTCAGAATCTCATATGTTTTTTATAAATGTATATATGCATATAAATATAACAAATGTAGATACATTGTGTATATAAGGAGGGATTTAAAAACAATTTTACTATTAAAATACAGTCTAAAGGTTGTTTTCAGTGATTATTTTGGTTTTGTTCACCTTCTGAAATGTCATGCCTGTATGGCTGTTGCACAGTGTATCTTCTAGTTTGCTGGTTCAATTTCCATATGGCTACTCTAAAACTGTGATGCCACGTAATTCTTACGGTGAATACAGCAGGGACAATACTTGCTTTGAGATAGAAAAGTTCTCTCTCTATATATATATGTCATGGAATACTATAGTACAAAACTGTGTTGAAGTGATACCATGCTCTATTTTTGTGTACCTTACTGTATGAGGTTGCCGTGATTGATACAGTAAAATATATGCTAATTGAAAATGCAGGTGTTTTGCATCTGATTTGTTAAAACTAATTTATGTTCAAAGGAATTGAAAAATAAAGAGGCCTTTAAGAAAAGGCTTAACTCTTTTCTTAAGGTTGAGTGCATGTAGCTGTCTGTTTCTCAACTGTGTTTTGCATGCAGAAGTGAGTTTGTACACAGAAGTAATCTTGGGGATAAAATGGGCAAGTGTGTATGTATCATGAGCCTCAGTTGTATGAGACTGGATGGAGCGCCTGCAGAATTTAGGGTTTTTTTTATTTTATTTTTATTTTTTAAAGTTAATTTTCAGGGCTTAGCAGCATGCCTGTTTGTTCCATAAGAACGTGTCTGCAGTCTGCAGCAGACAGGCTAATGTGGGGGCAGTAAGCAGGTTTTATGTGCGATGTAAAGCTGACCTACGTTGTTTTCCAGGCTTGACTCTTGATATCATTTGCAGATTTTCTGATGAAGTTTCCTGATGCTAGTTATCACAAAAGATATGTGATACTGCTGATGCACTTTTTGGCACTCAAGGCAGGCCTAGTGGCTGCTATTGCATCCTTCTAGCTCTAGAGCTGGATAATTTCTCAGGTCCCAGACTAGACTTTTTCCTTTGATTCACTGTTTTGGAGCACATCAGCTGAATGTCAGGTGAATGCTTAAAAGGCCTCAAGTTCCATTTACACAATCTTGTGATCTGTTGAGGTTCCTGGAAGTATTTGGGATGTTTGTAAAAAATCAGGTTCAAGATGACAGAAGTATTACTGCAGGAAGTCTTGTCTTTACATCTCTGTGCTATTTATGCTAATGTATTTCTGGCACATTTTAAACAAGTCAATGCTGACTGTTCTGACTGGTCTGATGTTTCTGATGACAGACCTATTATATGTGTCTGCCTGTGTCTTTTGCTCTGAACAGAAGTTTAAAGGTTCCATGCATCATCGTGTAGCTTAAACTTGACAGTTTGAGCTGGCAGCTCTTTAAACTTATCTGTTCTGGACAACAGTTTTGGATTCCAAGCATTTAGTTTGTGTAGCTAATCATGCTGTAGTGTCTTGTTGGGGGAGAGGTTCCCCTTTCTGTTATTTGCTTAGAAAGGGAGGGAGCCTGAGTAATATGATCATTGTAATGCTGCCAGAGTCAGAGAAAAGTAGGAGGTGCTTCAGTTCCAAGGTGATGGAATTGAACTGGAGACAAAACAGGTACTTTGAGGTCACTGGGAGCTAACTAGGCCTTCTAGCATGGTCGTTACCATCTGTGTGAATACAAATGTACCTATCTATTCCTTGTGAAGGATATTCCACAGTTCCTTCTGAAAATGATGATTATGGTTTTCTAAAGAGTTTGTTAGCATGTAAATGGATGATTCTGTGTAGAGCCAGGAGTTGGTTTCTATGACCCTTATGAGTCCTTTTTAACTTGGGATAGTCTATGAAATGTCTTAGATCTTTTGTGTAAAATTAAGCAAAATTGGGCGTTGCAGTTGTTTTGTATTACCTTTTTTTTCTACAGTTGACCATATTCCCTTAGACAATATTTTTATGTGTCTTGCCAGTTTGAAAGTTTAGAGGCAGGGAATCAGTACTTAAAGTAGCTTTCTGGTTTTGTACTTCATGTATAGCCCTGCTGCGATTAGGGCAGCCTGGAGCATTGAGCCACCATACAAGGAAGGCAGAGACCAGTGTGTTGGATCTTACTGCCCGAAGGAAGGCAAAAGGTTAACATGTATTATATGGCAGCAGCTTTTGTAACTCTAAAGTCCTGCAGATGTTACTGAAGCTCTTCCATTTGAGGAGATGTGTAGGAGAGCCAGAGAACTGCTCCTTTGTTTGACAGGATGTTTGGTGTGCTAATGTGCAGAAAGCAAGGCTGTTTCTCACAGTACTGAAAGGTGTCTGTGTTGAAAATACGCTGAGATGTTTTATACTTTGTAATGGCCCTTTGGTTCAGACAGGAATCTAGAATCTTGCTACGACATCATGTGCAGAGCAGTCAGAGGTGATGGTGTGCTGATGGATAGGAGTCAGTAAAGGTGACTGTAATACCCAGCTGTGCATATAGAATTGTAGGACCAACTGACCTGTAACCAGGGAATTAGAGCATAGTGTCCTAAGTGATGGAATCCCTTTTCTTCTTTCATGTCTGGCACTGCCTTGCTCCTTCCACAGAGCTATGGGAACTCTGGCTATATGCTGGTTTGTTGTTATTTTATTGGGAGAGGGAAACAGCTGCCTTGCTATCCTGAACTCTACAGAAGGAAGGGGATCCTGAGTTCTTAGGAATCCCTGCAAACAGGGAGACATTGCTGTGCCTGAAGAGAATGAGATGCTGCCAGGTAGCTCCTGCTTTTCTGCTACAGTACAGAGGCAGAGAGGCTATGACAATCTTTCTGACAGTGAACAGCCTTCTAAGTTGTCTGTGATTAAAGCCAGACATGGGCTTCTATTGAACTTGGAAAGGCTTGGTGCAGAAAAGAGGTGGGCAAGTGGAAATGTTCCAGAAAAACATGAAGCAACCTGCTTTTCCTCCCCTCTCCCCTCCCTCCCCCCCTCCCTTAGTGTCAATGAGAAATTTCTCTCTCAGCATTCAGAGTCTGAGAGGCGTCAAATTCATGTTACAGGGAGCTTTAGAGGAGGTTGAAGGATTTTATTACTAGTACTCCTTATTGGTGGGATTCTTTCTTAGTGCTGCAGATTGTGAATGCAGGTTTTGGTGGTCATGGTATTCTTCTTCAGCTTGGGCACTGTATGGGAACTGCTGAATCACGGCCTGAAGCTCTGATTGACCACCTGAGGCGAGCACTGAGTCAGCCCTGGGAGCACAGGTGAAGGCGATTCAGCTGTGCTGCTGGAAGGGGTGCAGCCTGGCTGCCCCTCTCCTAGGCCCATTTAGGAGCTGACTACCAGTGGGGAAGGAGCTCTGCTGGAGATCCCTCCTCTGGAGTTTTGCAGCGAGCCCAGGATGTGGGTAAGTGTTCTATATATTCTCTATTTGTTATTATAATCTGCTTTGCCAAATTCTCTTGTTTATTTCATAATTATAACATCTTTATATTCATTGATTATACAGGCGCTATGATGGTGTTTCAGTGCATTGCAGCAAGGGTGTGAACTACTTTCTGACCTGGGTAGCATTGCCATTTGTCATTTTCACCTTGTACTGAACTTTCACTATTTCATGTGCAATTCACTGCATTGAAGACAGTGTCAAGCCATAACTTTAATGTAAGCTCCGACCAGTAGCATGTGGCTGCTACTTCTGCTGTTGTGGGTGTGGAGCTGTCATGCTTCTTGTTTTAGAAATCATTCTCATGATAGTCATACTGCTCTGAGATTTTTCATCATCTACATGTTTTAAAAAAAGAAAAAGAAATACCAGTGCACAACTGTTCATCAACTCCTTAGTGGAAAAAATACTGCTTTTCCCTGGAGTAAGTAAAATCAGTTTGGTAGCTTGATCTGTGTGCAGCATGTAACTGCTTCATCCAAACTTTTCAAAGACTAGCAATTTATTTCTGAAGTATAACCAGTACTGGTGAACTATTATCACGTAGCTGCAGTCATTGTACATCTCCCCATTGCTGTGTGTGTGAATTGTTTGCTTTCCAGGTGGGTCAGACTACTTCTGTAGTGCTCCAATTGTGGATCCCTGCCAGTGGCATATGCAGATCCCAAACCCTACTAAGTTAACCATTAATTTAAAAAAAAAAAAAAAAAAGCTACCTACAAGCAACTCTAAGAAGGAGCACCATGTTATGTGCTTCAGTGCAATTATATGAACTTGTGTGTTGTTGATGAACCTCCTCACAGGCTGCTCTGCAATGGGGAGGAGAGCTGTGTATGCGTGTGTTCACAGGAGCTCCTAGGAACCTACTGGCTTATAATGAGAATCTCTGTGGTTCTTTAAAGGGTGGAGAGGAAACATGTTGGAAACCTGCATTAGCACACTAGGTCTACTGAGGAGCTGAGTGGCAAAGACTGGAGTGTGGCTGGGTGGGAGTGTTAAATCCAGCCCCAGAAAAAAGCTGCCTTTCTCTTACTCAGCCCTCTCTGCCACCAGAAGCTACCAGATACCTGACAGTTTTGCCTGCTTATCTGCAATGTTCAGACTGGGTTGGCTGACTGAAGGTTTTCCTTAAGCTAGGTTTTTTTGGATGTATTCTTGGTTACAGTGAAGCATTCAGTTTGTAATAGTTACAGAGGGAGTGATGTATTGTGACTCTAGAAGGTTGGGGGAGATGACAGAGAGCTGCTGCCAGAGCTCTGCTGCCAGAGCTTGGGTATGCCAAGCAGAAGGGCAGCTGCACCAATTTACTAGCTGCAGCTGGCATGGCTCCATTCAGTAGCAGAAGCAGCAGGGGACAAGGATTCCATCTGCTGCGTTACCTTTTCAGGGCCTGTTTCCTCACACTGCATTGCAGGGCTCCGCCATGCCAAGCAGCTTGGTGCTGCTGTGAGCCATCTCCTGTAACTTTGGCCACCTTGGGATGAGGTGGCCCAGCCCTGAGGCGTGCAGTGAGGAGATGGCATTTCCAGCTCTGCATTATGCTTGGTTCCTGGACCTGAAAATGGAAACCTGTTCCAGCATCCTTTTAGATGGTATTAGATGAGAGAGATTCTTCTATCTGTAACGAGCCTATGGTGCATGCTGGCTTTGGGCCTCCTTGGTAGATAGCAGTAGGTTGGATGTATATGCTCTGCTTTTCCGTTGTAGGGGAGAGGGGCTTTATTCCCCAATGCTGTGCATCATATTGCAGAAGTCCTTCTAGGATGACCAGTGTTACAGCTTTTGTTGTGATTAAATTCTCCTATTCTCCAGACCTTAATCACAGAAGGTTTGCTGAGAGGCACCATTCCCAGTGCTAGGAGGGAAAGCAGCAGGTGATGCGCGCACTGAGCCTGCACCTGCTGTTCTCATTTTGGGAGGACACAGCACAGCCCAAGACTGGCTCTGGAGTGTAAAACACTCGCCCAGGTTCTGTGAAAACACTCATGTATAACTTCTGCAGTGAATGTGTGGTGTGGGTAATAATTAAGGGTAGGAGTAGCAGAAGTGAAGCTTTGTGTTACAAGAATACTGTTTTCTATTACGGTGTTTTCTGCTGCAGGCAGTGC